AGCAAAGCCTAAGTATTGTTAGAACATCGGCAGAATCAGAAATCAGGCACATGAAAGTTTAATTACACGGATTCTTACGTGTTTGATTTTAGTTGAAAGTTAATAGACCTCAGAATTACATGCAAAAACAAATCTTTTTCATTGGATAAATTGTGCTTAAACAGTTGTAATTAACCTAAATCTAGAACCAAATTAAGACGTTAGTTCTATATAAGAAGAAAATAGCTGGAAATGAATTGATACTAAAGACTTGAGACGATCCATAAAACAAATGGTGAACCTTAACGAACATCCCTACTGGGAGGATTTTAACAGCATTGGAGAGAAATATCTACCATTGTTATAGATTTCTTCAGATCATCTTGTTTACATATCCACAGCCCCCAATAGACTCATGTGAAAGATTTTCCTTTAAATTGACTTGACAGATCACACTTAAACTTGGTAATTAATTCCAACTGAAATGACAGGCTGTGAAATTTGAGGAAAACATAGGATTCAGAACATTATTGGAGATGTGTCGGTTAATGTTAAAGGTTTTTAAAATTCTAAAATGTATATATTTTTGGATATGAGTATGAGAATGAGGAATTTACAACAATTTTATGCTGTATTCTTCACACTCAGTCTTTTATTCAGTAAGGTGCCATATACTGAAGGTTGCTACAAATTTCCTGAAGGGAAAAGGGACCCTTGTGATGGAGTTTCATGTCATTACGGTGCTATTTGTGTTCCTGCAAGTAATGGCATAAACAGTACATGTAAGATCCCCGACCGATGTGATAATTATGGTGACAGTATAGAGAGTATACCAGTATGTGGCGATGATAATAGAGATTACGCTAACACGTGTGAAATGAGAAAGACAGCCTTTCAGCAGATGAGAAACATTACGGTGAAATATTTTGGAAAATGTGGTATGTAAGATATACGATTTTCTGTGCTAGGCATTGGAAGGAAATGTGGTAGTTAAGCTTTAAGAATTTCTGTGCTTGTTGTTGGAAGGAAAATGTAGTATGTAAGCTTTAGGACTTTCTATGCTGGGTATTGGAGGGAAAATGTAGTATGTAAGCTTTAGGACTTTATAATGCTGGGCATTGGAGGGAAAATGTGGTATGTAAGCTTTAGGATTTTCTATGCTTGGCATTGGAGCGAAAATGTGGTATGTAAGCTTTAAGATTTTCTATGCTGGGCATTGGAGGGAAAATGTGGTATGTAAACTTTAGGATTTTCTATGCTGGGCATTGGAGGGAAAATGTGGTATGTAAGCTTTAGGATTTTCTATGCTAGCATTGGAGGGAAAATGTTGTATGTAAGCTTTAGGATTTTCTATGCTTGGCATTGGAGGGAAAATGTGGTATGTAAGCTTTAAGATTTTCTATGCTGGGCATTGGAGGGAAAATGTGGTATGTAAGCTTTAGGATTTTCTGAGCCGTGTATAACATGGAAAATATTTCTGGGCTTAACATGGAAAATGTGGCATGTTTGGTGCTATGCATCGCATGAATTGTCACTAAACAAAAATGCTTATATATTTTAATCTATCTAAGTAAATGAACTTTAAAATATTTAATTTGATACTATTCTTGGCCAAGAAAATTGTTTTCAAGCCATAATTGACTTTCCTCAATGCAAGCTCTGAGCATGATCAATAATAGCAGTGTGGACAGATTTTTTACTCTACATATTTGGACCATAATACTAAATACTGTAAATTCAGAAATTATTGCGTGCATTTATTATTGCGATTTTGTCATTTTAGACTTAATTGCGATTTTAATTTTTACGATTTTGAGAAAAATCATGTTTAATTCATATAAAATATTTCAAAATGCGAGTTTAAATTATTGCGTTTACAACTCAGTCGCATTTTTCGCAATAATAAAAACCTCGCAATAATTTCTGAATTTACAGTACATATTTTTATCTGGGAAATGATGACAGCTTGTTATTTTACCTTCCACTAAGCAGTACAAAAATTGTGAATTTAGAAATTTTGAAATGCTCTGAATTTGATTGAATATACAACTTTAAACTGTCCTGAAATTCATGATTTTTTTGTTTTTTTTAATTTTTTCTATAGATTCTACCAATGCTGATTGGATGCATGAAATATTTGATATAATGATTTTAGAGATGAGTTTGTCTTTCTATTGTTGTGTATATATTTATTGATTTAGTATTGAGCCTGATGATAGTACACCCTGCGGCAGTTTGGTGAATGATTTGATTATCCCAGATTCTTTGTCATCCATAATTACGTTATTTGTTCGAATGTCTAGTAGCCGTCAAATCGTGACAGAATTTATACAGCTAATTTTCAGACTAGTTGATAGGTATTTTAGTTATAGGTATAATGGAAATTGATATTTTAAGAAGAATTTGTTTATATCTAGGACTAAAAGAAAAAAATGTATTAGTCTAAGTTAATATGTCGTCAATTTGCACTTTTTGAAATCTGCATCATTTAGATAAAACCTACTGTAGGTTATTATATGGTTATTATGATGTGATAAGAACATTGAAAGTTAAAAAAAGGCAATTATTTATGAAGATGATTAAAAATTTACTGACAAGCACACACATTTTTCAAGTTGTAATAACCTCAAAGTGGATTTACAATTTAAGATACTTGATAAAAATATAGTTTTTTTTTCTCAAACCCAAACGTTGGTGCCCAAGAAAATAATGAAGTCAATCCTATGTACTCCATTTTAGAAACATGTAAACAGTCCTTAATTATAATGTAATTATTTGAATGTACATGATTAAAACTGTGATATACTGCAGTTTAAAAGTATTGTGCTGAGAATATTCAGAAACTTCAGATCATATGATAACATCTCTACTCTTGAAAAAGATATAGTAAATGCTTTTTGAAGAATTTCATGACATTAAATAATATGCATTGTAATGAAATGTTTGCTCTTATCTCTGAATTTTACACAGACATAGATCTTTCCAAAACATCTTTCTTGAGTTATTGATTTTACCAGCAATTTCAGAATATGATATTAAAAATTATTTCCTTCAAATGCCTGTTAGCATTTAGAAAGTTTTCAGTTTCATCAATAAAACCTTATATGGAATAAATTCTTTGTTCTTGCAAGAAAACTTATAAAGGACATAAAAATTGATATTATGGAGGTTTACAAAGAGTCTGATAAAAAAAAAGTCTGACAGCATGCAGAGATTTTTATAAGGCAGACCAGTCTTTACAATTGAAATAATACAGTTGCATTTTATCAGAAATAATTTCATATAATGCTGTGTACGGAGCTGTGTTGAAATTGATTTTTCATAGCAAGAAGCAGAAAAAATATTATTTTGTACATGGTAATAATTGGCATCCATCATTTCCACCCTATTTCATTTATATAGGGTAAAAATCAATATTGTCTGCAGAGAAGAGCTATATATAAAGTAGATGTATCTTTGCTTTTTTATGACATGAAAGAATTCTTTCCCGTGGGGCATTCACACATTTATCCAATCAAAACAGAATCAATGCACTGATAAAAATCAAACATACACGACCAACATAGAAGTTTAATCCTCCGAGAATTCAGATGCATTCAGAAGATGATAATGGAGAATATCCGGAGATAATTACGAAACGAGAAAGCTGGAATAGATTGTGTAGGAAAAATGAAATTTACTCTGATAGCATTACCAGTCATGTTTATATTCTTAAAGCTGCCAGTAAATGGTTTTTGTCACACATGAAATTTAGAAATGAATTCAACAGGCAGCATCTGCAATAAATCAACTTAAAAAAAAAGCTAGAAATTTTAGATTGCAGTGATGGAGTCCAAAAGACTAATATGCATGGGTAGCTTCATTCTTCATACAACAAAATGAAATTAAGATAACATCATTGGTTTAAATGAGTTCCATTGATTTGATGTTTGTTTTCAAAAAAGCTTGCAAAAAGTGTAGAAATAGTGACACGACATATAATTTGTCAATATAAAAAAGACAAATCAATTTTATATACTGTAATGAATTTACTGTTGAATAAGAGCAAAATTAAAAACAATATGTATGTATGCTGTGCATGTATTGATTTTGTGTCATGGATGGATACCCCATATCCTTTGTTTTTCTATTAACAATAAGCTCTTTTAAAGTTGGTAAAGTTTCTTGATTTTTGATGGAAATTATAATGATCCCTCTATAGGTTTTGGCTCTAAGAAACATGCTGTGCTGTAGATTAAGAACTCTTTGTGATGCTTTTATTTTTTCTAAGTGAAAATTTGCATCAGGATAGGTTTTGCAAAAGTAAAAACTTGCGTTTGAAATTTTGATGGTATTTGAATGCAGCATTTTCTGAAATCGCAACAATTGCAATCTCATGATTTTGTCCTTTTTTATGCCCCACCTACGATAGTAGAAGGGGCATTATGTTTTCTAATCTGTGGGTCCATTCGTTCGTCCGTCCCTCCATCCATCCGTCTGTCTGTCTGTCTGTCTGTCTGTCCTGCTTCAGGTTAAAGTTTTTGATCAAGGTAGTTTTTGATGAAGTTGAAGTCCAATCAACTTGAGGCTTAGTACACATGTTCCCTATGATATGATCTTTCTTATTTTAATGCCAAATCAGAGTTTTGACCCCAATTTTACGGTCCACTGAACATAGAAAATGATAGTGCGAGTGGGGCAATCCGTGTACCATAGACACATTCTTGTTTAAAATTTGCAAAAATAATGCACAGAAAATTTCTGAATTTACAGTATATGTGACAATAATGGATGAGAATAAGAACTGTAGTATTATTCAGACGTTTTCACTTATTTTTCTAATGTTATATTCATGTATGCTTCTTCCTAATATGACTGAAAAGTGTTGACGTGCCTTTAAAAAAAGTCTTAGAAGCTGTTTCAGAAAAAGAGATCATCAATTGTTCTGAACCATTAAACTATCTAATTAGTTTTCTAAAGGTTTGATATTTGCATTGATGTCTTATTATCTGATTTTGGTATCATTTGATCTTTAATTTCAGACCCATGCGCTGGATTTTCCTGCCCATATCCTCAGGCATGTATGCTGGATGCAAAAAGACAACCCACCTGTCGATGTAATACCGTATGTCCTGACGAGGTCAATATGGTATGTGGATCGAATGGCCATACATACAGTAACCAGTGTTGGTTAGAGAGAGAGGCTTGTCGCAGCCAGACAGACTTAAAAGTTTTACACCCAGGCCGATGTAAAGGTAAATATTGATTTCTTTACAGAAATTTTAAATATTTTAATCGACTGTTATTAATGTGTCAAATAGAAAACGTCCGTTGGCTGATAAGATCTTGCAATGGCTTCTAAAGTCTTTTCAATGGTGTCTTTTTTCGTGCTAAAAACTGCTTGCGCTGGTTGTGTGCGTTGTTTAAATGTTAGTAAAATTCTCTAAAGTTGTTGTAATTTCTTCAATAGAAAATAAAAAAAACATTGTCTTATACAACTATATGACTCTATATCTAGGCTTCTGATAAATCTGCATTTCTTGCATGACGTTTGATTATTCATCTTCTGTATACCATTATAGCTTTTCTACAAGTCTCATTGTCGGTTTGCTGTTACTCCTCATTTCACACATATAACCATTATCAATTTTACGAGACAGATGCTACTATAGATAGTAACTTTATAGTAAAACATTGCCTCAAGATCAGTGGCAAATATCCTAAAAACTAAATCTTTTTTTATGAATCACATAATTCGCCACTGGACATTTATAAAACTTTAAAAAAACCATTCAGGAGCAAACAGACAAAAGACTTAAGCTGAGCCTTTAAGACTTCTCTGACATATTCTATAATATATCATCTTGAATTTCCAGATTTATTTACCAAATCTATTTTAGATGGTAAGGTTTTATTTACTTCTGCTTGTAAATTATTGATTGATATTTAATTCCATGAACATTAAAGTTGTTCTGATTTATATCCTTTAACAAAAATGTAGAAACATGCAATGAGGAATATAAGTGAAGTCCTTTTCGTTTTTGTTAAACTTTCAAACTTCCAGTTGTGTCTGTTAGACATACTATTTTGCTATTACTTTGTAAACATATATTAAGTACTGTAAATTCAGAAATTATTTCAACATTTTTTTATTAATGCAAAAAATATGTCAGTATGAGGTTAGCAATATTAAAAACTTGCATTCATATTTTCAGTAATGTTTTTCCTTCACAAAGTTTTTGCAATAGCATTACTAGTAATTAAATCTAACATTTTTACCAATAATCAGTGATTCACAATAATAATTGCATGCATAAATTTCTGAATTTACAGTAATAATTTTAATTTCATTGAATTTTTGTTAGTTGTATCAGCAAGATAAAACATTTGACCTCTTATATTCATTTCATCTTTAATATTTTCTACATTTCAAAACAATTTTTTAGACATTGAAATATTTTAATATTCATGGAATTTAATTTATTTTAACAGATTTTAACAATTTTTAAAGGGTAGAATGATATAGGTAAATAACCAAATGACACACAATATAAGTCTTCTCATCATTTTTTAGTCATACTAAATCATAAACTATCATTGTAAATGTTTTGAGATATAATATTATGTGGAGAAATAACTGCATTGCATGCCAGATGTTTTCTCAAGAATGGACTGATTTTCATACTAAATGTTGTTGAAAGATAGTATGTTGATTTAACAGGAGAGGAAAATACCCAAGATGATTTCTATGGTAAAGATATAATGTTGTAAAATAATCTGTTTACTGTGGCATCTTATACAAGTTATCTCCCTTTCTCTAAAATCTAATACAAGTTATCTTCCTTTCTCTAAAATCTTATACAAGTTATCTTCCTTTCTTTAAAATCTAAAACAAGTTATCTCCCTTTCTCTAAAATTGTATCTTTTCCATACAACAGTACTTGGACTACACTTCTAACTTCACAGACAAAGTTAATTTTTTTTAACTTGCCTTAGTCTAATAGGGCAGTCAATGTGAGCTATAGTCGTTACTTTGCATTTGTGGTCAATCCTACAGCAGATAATTTTTACATTTTTATTATCTTCTCTAAAATTAACCACTGGTATGTAGTTTTAATAAAACTGTGCAGAAATAAAACATTGAAGGTCTTAAAATTTTTTATTTCAGTCAGGTTGATTCTGATTGCCATTTAAAAAAATCTTCGCCTCTTAAAATAGAAAGTGTTGTTTTGGGGATTGATAAGAACAAAACCATGTACACCCTCATTTATAAGAAGTTATCTACTCCTGAGAAATTATAAAAGGGATGCATTATCAGGTGAGCAATTCAGTTTTCTTGGAGAATCAAAAAATTAAGTAAATGAGAATAAAAATATTGCAGGACTGATCTGATATAAAAGATAGATGTTTTTTTTCGCTTTTTGTATCAAAGACCTCCTGTTGATACATTCTGAATAGTTGAAACTGGATTCAGCTGATATATTTTTTGTGAGGTCCTGAGGAAGTTTTGTTACTTTGATGCTAAGCATGTTATAAGATAAAATGTCAGCAGTGAAGCCTTTTGGACAATGTTAGAAGGGTTAGAAAAGTCTGTTGTTTAATTTTTTTTCTCTGTCTCCTGTCTTTTGTATGTTTTTTGTGACATCTTCTTCAATGTATTTTGAAGTTTCTGTATGTGTAGATGCATATTATGGTTGAAAATTAGTGTCACTTTGTCAATGTTGCATGAAAAGTGTGAAAATTTACCAAAACATGTTTACACTCCAGTTCTAAAGGAGGGGTATTATGTAATGGTTTCAGTCCCATATCAAGGATGTCTCTTGAGGAGGGCTATTTGGGGTCATGATGCTAAAATTGACTTTAAGAGTCAATATAAATCTCAACTTATTTAAGTGTCTACTAGGATTTTCTTTTCAGTGGCTATGGGTAGGGTTTTTTAAAGAGAAATTTAAAGTTCCTTTGAATGAAATCCACAGAGAACAATAGCTAATATAATTAATCAATAGGACAGGTAACTGTGCAAATATTTAGATAGCCAGTTAAAGACCAACTCATTCTGGGGAAAGGTTTTATTTCCTTTGCATTAATATTTTTGTTGCATTTTTCTCGGAGCTTCTTTAAATTTGGTAACTAGCTTCAATTGAGCATTTCTATACCATGTGTAATTTCAAATAATTTAAACTAAGAAACTGAAGGCATTTTTAATTATACGACCGCCAAAAAATTTTGCGGTTGTATATTGGTATGACATTGGCGACGGCGTCGTTGTAGTAGTCGTCGTCCTCCTCCGAAGACACATTGGTTTTCGCACAATAACTTTAGTTTAAGTGAATTGATCTCTATGAAATTTAAGCATAAGGTTCAATACCACAAAAGGAAGGTTGGGATTGATTTTGGGGGTTATGGTACCAACAGTTAAGGAGTTAGGGGCCGAAATAAGCATTTTTGTAACTTATAGACAATACCTTGTGTGTTAGTGTATGGATCTCTCTGACATTGTACCACAAGTTTCCATATCACAAAGGGAATGCTGGGATTGATTTTGGGGGTAATTGCCTCAAAGTTTTAGGAATTAGGGGCCAAAAAAGGGACAAAAACAAGCATTTTTCTAGTTTCAGGACAATAACTTGTGTGTAAGTGTATGGATCTTTCTGAAATTGTACTACAAGGTTCCATATCACAAAGGGAAAGCTGGAATTGAGTTTGGGGGTAATTGCCCTATACGTTTAGGAATTTGGAGCCAAAAAGGGGCCAAAAAATAAGCATTTTTATAGTTTCTGGAAGTTCTTAGACCACATTCATTCTGTGTCAGAAACCTATGCTGTGTCAATTATTTAATCACAATCCAAATTCAGAGCTTTATCAAGCTTGAATGTTGTGTCCATACTTGCCCCAACTGTTCAGGGTTTGACCTCTGCGGTCGTATCAAGCTGCGCCCAGCGGAGCATTTTATTAAAGTATGTTTTAATTCTTTTTATAATTGTAAAAGCAGAAATTAGCAGACACATTTAGTTGAGAAGAATTATTTATTTTCATGTATAGGACTGAAAAAATTTCAGTACTTTGATATTGCACAGAATGTTACTGTATAATGATACAATTATATACAGCCCCTATTGAAATTAGTTTTATATTTATTAAATTTAACACATTTTTAGCCTTGAAGATTATATTTAAGAAAAATTGTATAAGATTTCACAGTTAAACCAAACACCAATATACCCTGTACACAATATCTTAATATTAATGTTGTCAGTCAGTTATAGTATACTTAAATATTGGTTTCTATTGTAAGGAGAAGTTGTATTATAAACTTAACCCAAATTTGATTTGCATTTGTTTTTCTTAGAAGAATATAGTTACAATCAAAACTTTGATTAACTAATTCTTTTCATATGATTAGTTCTGTTTTAAAATATATATTAGTTTTTTAATCTGTTTTGAAAAATGTAGTGTTGGTTACAAATTTACTCTTAGAAGGAACTAATGTAAAATTTTAAGTTCTGTAAACATGGACATTTTTTCAAATTGTTATTTTGCAATTTCATTAATTAAATTCATGCATCAATGATTGGTTGGCCCTTCACACTTATACTTTTGCCTTTTACGAACTATTCGTGACATGGATATAGGCAATAATAGAAAAACAAAGGATATGGGGTATCCATCCATGATACAAAATCAGTACATGCACAGCAAAAAATCATACAAAAAGCAAAGGAACAGTGCTTTTATTGCTGTTCTTCATCTCAAAGTCACAGTGAGGCCTTCAACACAGGGCAAAAAAAACAACTCTCACCTCACTGCAAGTTTAAGATGGCCCTTAGCACTGGTTTGAGTGTAATTAATAATTTAAAGCTTATTGAAGGATGTTCGCTACTCTGTTTCAAAATATCAAGTTTTTTAAAAGACTGTTATAAATTGATAGTATATAAATAAAGAAACCAAAAAAGTAGAAAAAAATGAAGGGTCTGTGTGCTTGTTTTCGAGCTATTTGCCATTGAAAATTTTGGGGGAAATGATTTTCTCTAGATTTTTCATGCATTTAACATTGGCTCCTTTTTTCTTTCAAAAACAATTAAAAAATAACAAGGATTTTATAAGATTTTCAAATATGGCTTTTAAAACTATATGGTATAAAATTATGAAAAGAAAAGTAGGGGTTAATGGGCAAAATTTATAATGGCACTTCATGGATAAAACCAGGGGATTCCGAATATCTGGCAAAAGTTCAAAAACAAGAGGAGCAAACATCCTTAACATGATCTGGAAGTAATTGAAAGTAGCCCTTGCACAAAAAAATGTCCACGTTTGCAGTCACCTAAAGCAGTTTCACCTCTGATTTTGATTAGTTCAAGTTATTTGAATAGCTTAAGATATATTGAGATTGTATTGACCAGTTGCAAGAAAATTTGTTATCACCTAAATGGTTTTAGTTGCAACAGTAATTTTCCTTTTTGTAGTTAGTAAGGCTTCTAAGAAAGTTAAATGTTACAATTGAATGAATTGCTCAGATGTTAAAGTTAATAGATAAACATCTTCAATTGTTTCTTTTTCGTTGAATCATTTTCCTTAAGAATTAGAAGAATCTATTGATGTTGTGATCTGTATTTTGGATGATGACTAAAAAAACGACAAAATTATTTCCTTGACATAAAGGGGCATTAGTTACGAGATATAAAAAAAATTTAAAATACATTTTTTTTTTGTTCAATCATTAATGAAAGTGAAATAGTGAAACAATAATTCACTTTTAGCACCAAGTTTGGTTCAATTATGTCAAAATAAGCTAAGAAATTTCTCTGATGAATTATTCACTTGCAAGTGAATAATTCGACCTCATTGAATCCATATTCATGTGACCTTCAATTTAACCCCTTAGCTAGAGATGGGTTATGCATGA